TATAAGGATTTTTCCTGCATGGGAGCCCTATTTTGTAGCTCAAATCGGGAGCCTAAAGCGACGGCTTTGCTAGCTAGCTCCCAGAGCCGGCCCTAAGTCTCACATAGGTGTGAGTTGTATACTCATGTGAGATATTTTATAAAAATTTTAATAAATCTTTTGAGATTTCTAACATTTTTCTTATATCAATACATATATTGTTCAAACATGGCCACCACTACATCGTTACAACCAACTCACCACCAGAATATGAAGAGTGAAAGGGCAATTTTAAATAATAAGTTTGAAACATTAATTTCTTGTATATATATCAAAACACTTAAATTTTAGTAGTTTTTAAAATTTTAAAATTTTATTAAACAAGACATAAGTTTTTGTCTTTACAATTTTAATATTTTCTTTTAGAATTTATTTTAATTTTAAGTAATAAGAATTATGATTATTTAGCTTCATTGCATCCATTCAATTTTTGGTATTACACTGCCAAACCCTAAAGCATAACATGGCTTCTCAGACTTGCAACTTGAAACTGTAAATAATGTCCATATATATAAAAATAAAAAAAATATATTACTCCTACATCAGTGTAATTCTAAAAACATGATTACAAAATTGGTAAATTTTACCAATTTTAATAATTAAAGTCTTGAGTTTTACTTTTTTTTAAAAGTACACTGAATTATATTTTTTTCTAAAATCATTTTGTTTTTGACGACAAAATCCTGTTGGAAAAAATGATTTTTTGGTGACTTTAATTAAATATTAAAATGGGTCCCAACCATCTATTGTGTTGGGTCTAAATGGGTCTAGATACTTTGCAATGAGATCTTTACACCACAAATAGAATGGCCAAAAACCATTGAGATTTGAATGAGAAATTGTCCCATGAAGTTAGCTTCATGAAAGAGTTAATGGGGTTTGTAACTTCTGCATTTATTGCAGAGTTTAATAGTGCATTAATGGGGTTTGTAACTCCTGCCTTTATTGCAGAGTTTAATAGTGCATTAATGGGGTTTGTAACTCCTGCCTTTATTGCAGAGGTTAATGGTGCATTAGTGACCAGCCATAAATGCTGGAGGCTTCTCCTCTCTCTCCTGTACATTTATAAATTGAGACCCTCCTGTCAAGTCTCCAACACAGAAATTGTTTCTTCCATTCTTTAGTCAGTTTGCTAGAAAGTTCCTACTGTGAGAGAGTGCTGCCATTGTTCTTGTTCGCTAAGCTAGATAGAAAGTGCTTCTGCCGTAGCTGGTTTTGACCGTCGTATCTTGGGAGACAGACGCCGGGATTCCTCAAGCACTCGATCTGTGAGACGACGAAATCTGTTTTAAGGAAACTGCTTCTGTGCAGGCTTTGGTTTCGTCTCTTTACCCTTTCATTGTTTTGTGTATTTCTGTTGAAATTTAATTGTAATTATCAGCATATGTTCTTGGTATATAATTTTGATTTCTTCATAAATCTATTTAATTAATTTCAAAATTTGATGAAATTGATTGAATAGATTTATATAGACAATTAGGTTAGCTTTGTATAATGTTAGTAGGAACTGTTGCAGAATTGCTCACTATTTCAATGATTGTAAATTATGCAATGTTATTCTCTAATTGCTTAGTTTAATTAGAATGCTCTATCATAATTTGCATACTTAATTGTATTAGTACGATCTTATTTTATACGTATGGTTCATCATTCCCCTACCATGTTTCGCATGAATTTTAAGGTTATAAAATATAATTTATGGATGTTGCAAGTTTTGACATGTTATTTAGTTTCTAGCTTTTAGTTTTCTTACATGATTTAATCTTTAGAATTTTTTGCATCTTAATTGCTAAATGGTTATTGGATTGTAATTCTTACCTATTAATTTTAGTTTAATGTATTTGGAGTTATAGAGTTTTTATGAATTGTGTACATGACTAATTTGAATTAATTGGGTGCATTAATCTAAATTATTTAATTGGGTGCATTAACTTTGAATTTAACTTATTTATTTGGAGTTATTAGTTTAAAATGGTTTCAATTATTTATTATATTTATTTTTTGCTTAGATTATTTGTTTGTATTTTGTTGTGGTTTGCTAGTAACTTTCTTTGTAGGGATACCAATGCGAAAGGGAATGGAAAATCAAATACAAAACCAAATGAATAGTATTTGGGATGTAAAAATAAAAATGTTTGGACTACTAACTTTTGTGTTGAATAGGAATACCTAAGCGTGGAAAGGCTTTTGAACTAAATACAATTCTTGTGGATTGGCTATTTTATTTAAATGTTGAAGCATTTTTTCCTTGAGATGTAGTTGGTTTGTTTACCAATTTGTAACAGCAAGTTTTATTTGCTTGTATTATTAGAAGCATTTTACATGCATGTATTTGGGGATAGCAATTTTTAAATTACTTGTAAATTTAGAATTTGGTTTGGTTTTCTGTAATAGAAACCAAAGTGTTTGGCCTTGGCTAAAGAGTAGTTCTTATTTGTTCAGAAATGACAACTAAGACGGATTTGGTTTCAAACCTTTGGGGTTTGAGGAAGTCTTTGGGTTTAATCATTTTATTCCCAAAGTGTTGGAAAATCGTGTTTGGAGAAAGTCTTTGGTTATAATCTGATTATTTCCAAAGTGTTGGGGTTTTGAGAAAAGAAATCAAATTTTAGCATTAGCTAAAATATCTCTGATTTTTATTCAGAAATCATGACCGGTTAACTGTTATGGGCTCAGTTCCGGGAGTACCGGTTAACTTTTATGAGTGGTGTAATTCTGGTAGCAAATTTTATTTGCTTGAAAATTAGTTTGTTATAACCTTATATATCCTCTAAAAATCTTAATTTTAAAATTGTTTCCCATGGACTAGGAGTCAACATGTTCTTGGATGTTTTGTCAAAAGGTTAACTGGGTTTTAAGTGGGACCGATGTGACCCCTCCAGTCTTCTTGGGATTATTCCTGACCATGTTCGATTCTAGGTTAAATGGTGAGACTAGTTTTGAATTAAATTTCCATTTGAGGGATTTTCTAAGGGTTAAGTTTAATTTCTGGAATCACAGAAGTGAAATTCTGTTGTGATGTTTCAGAAATGGCTTCAAAATATGACAAACAGAAATGTTGTTCCACCTGACAACCTTTGCCTCACGAGATTCTTAAAGGAAGATCTTGAGAGATCAAGTATGATTAAAGGAAATCATAAGATTGCATGAAAAATTTCTCTGATTTGATCAGAGGCAATTGTATGATATCCTTGTGTTATCTAAAGGTGTAAGTGATCACGCAAGGTAGGCTATGTGATTTTGCTTGAAACCATAGATGAGACAACCTGTTATATTGGGTAAATATTTTTTGGATTTTCAAATTCCAAATATATTCTTAAATTGGTGGCTCCTAGTGAGTACAAGGTCACTGATCACAGAGATAGAAAACTGGTGGTTCCTAGGAGGTGTTAGACCACTGGCTACACAGTTATGAGATTGTGGTTCCTAGTAGTAAACAGATTACTGATCACATGTCAAGACATCATGGTTCCTAGTAGTGGAGAGGCTACTGGTCATATGTCAAGACATGATGATTCCTAGTAATGAAAGAGTCTATTGATCCTATGTCAAGATGTTGTGATTCTTAGTAGTAAAGTGACTACTGATCACAAGTTAAGACATTGTGATTCCTAGTAGTAGAAAATCTACTGACCACATGATGAGAAATTAGTGATTCCTAGTGATAAGACTACTGGCCATGTTATGAAGTTCCATATAGTAGACTATTGAATACTGAATTTGTGTTTCCTAATAGTAATACTATTGGCATCAGAGTGATAGGTTGGACAAAATATATTTGGGTGCCTAATTCGGTTGATAACATTCTGGGAATGTATTTACTGTGATATGATTTTGAGAGTTTCATAATCATTGTGACACAAGGATTTGTTTAAAACTTTGCATAAATTCTACAAAGAAGACCTGATTATCCGACTCCGAATTTAGGAGGATAATAGAAAGCAAGGAGGGAGTACCTCCTCAATGAAGGCCAATGTCATTGAGCATGGCAAATCTTCTGGGGTAAGGAAGAAGCCCCCCCTCCCGGTGAACAAGGGCTCTATGCTGGGGCCAAGGGGTGATGTTGCAAAGAAGCTGGCATACAAGCCGCGGGAACCTGGTTATCGGTTCTGTGGGAAGTGCTACAACTGTGGTAGCAAGGAGTTTTAGCTTTACTAGGGCTACACGCCACATCTGCTTCGAGAAAGAGTTGTTTACAACTTTCGAACCGGTTACAAATGGTAAGAAGTTGTTTATGGGAAACTCTACTACCTCATTTGTTAAGGGAAAGGTGGTCCTGAAGTTAACCTCAGGAAAAGAGCTAACCTTGAACGAAGTCCTGTATGTTCCGGACTTTCGTAAGAATCTTGTCTCTAGGTCTCTTCTTAGTAAACATGTCTTTGCATGGTTTTTGAGTCTGACAAGGTCGTTCTGACGAAACACAACTGTGAAACTTGTGTTGAAGCGAAGTGGACAAGACCCCGTATGAGTTATAAAAAAAGGCGTTAAGCTGTAGACACCCCATTTTTGACTGTCCTCAAGACTTGGACGTCACCGTTTGAACACTCGGTGATTATCCATGTTTGTGTACGTTTGGAGTTCCCGGAGGTCTCGGCTCGCGCGCCCTGCCTCAGGATCCCCGAACTCGACCGTTTAGTGTCTGGTTTTGCACCAAACACTTGCATCTTGCCTTTGAGAGGCAGGGTGGGGCTTGTAGACCATCCCCACCCATCACCGGCAGTGGCTAGATGCCACCGGCTGGTTTTTGCTGCCACCAGCAATTTAGTTTGCCGGTCGGCACTATTTGTTGCCGGTCAGCACTTTTTTGTGCCGGTCGGCACTTTGTTTGGCCAAGATGGCATTTTTTGCCGGCCGATTGCTGTTCATCTGCTTTTGCAGATATTTTTGGACAGCTGTATAACTTTTGCTCCCCTCCATACACGTGTATGGAGGGATCTCCCTCTTGCCTTTACCTTGAAAAAGACGAAGTTGTTGGCTTGGAACATGCCACAGATAAACTGATAAAAAAATTGTTGGAAGAACAATCACAACGGGAAGTGATCTCAGTAGTAGGCATGGCTGGAGTTGGCAAGGCCACACTTGCCAAGAAAGTTTACGACAGCCAACAAGTGAATGCACACTTTGACTGCAAAGCATGGTTCAACATCTCTCAATCATACAAGCCAGATGAGCTCCTCAAAACAATGATAAAGAAGCTATCAGAAAAAGAAGTCCCACATGATAAGGGAATTGATTCAATGGACCAGAAGTCACTCATTGACAAGCTAAGAGAATATTTAAAGGAAAAGAGGTATGTCATTGTGTTTGATGATGTATGGAAAACTGATTTTTGGGAATTCATAAGATGTGCTTTACCTGAAAATAGCAAAGGCAGTAGAGTAATTATCACCACACGTAATGAAAAAGTCGCTGCTGCTTCAAGCGTAGAACCTTCAATGAAAAATGTGCACAAACTTCAACCCCTATCCCAAGAGGAGGCTTGGAAACTCTTTTGCAAGAAAGCCTTTAGGGGTCATTGTCCCCCTGAGTTGGAGGAAGTATCACATGAAATTGTTAGAAAATGTGAAGGATTGCCACTTGCAATTG